CTCGCGCGCCTGACCCTGCGCGTCGATGGCGTGCTCTTTCGCGTGCACGACACGCGGATGTACCACTCGTTCGCGTCGGCGCCGCCGCTCGTAGTGCGGCAGGTGAGCGGGTGGGAGGCCCCGTACAACCGAGTCAAGCGGGTGCGTGCGTTCGCTCAGGTCTGCCTTCGCCGTCGCTGACGATGGAGCACAGCTGCTGCCACGCAGGGACGACCTGACGCCGCTCACGGATCCTAATTTTATCGGCAAGGTTCTCTCGGAGCTGCCAAAACAAGCGTCGCAGGAGGACGGGGCGGGCACGGGGTGGAGGGGGCTGGGGACGCGCGTGGAGGTCGCTGTGCTGCCTGCGGGGCTGTGACGTGGTGCGAGCCTGCGAGGCGCATACGCTTTGCGTGCATGCTTCTACTGCATGTGCTTGCGGGCGTCATCATCGTGAGGAGCATGTGTGTCATAGGTGAAGCCTACTCGACCCACATTCTCAGATGCGCATTTGAGAGAAATATCAGAAGTGACGTTTGTATGTAGCCTAGTGACATAGTCGAAACAGATGTGTAGAGAGTACCGGGAAGACAAAGGATAATAATGCTGTGACCTTACTGGGCGCCGGGGGAATTGGCGCTCAGATATGGGCGCTTAAATGCTTCAGCCACCGGGCCAAACAGGGGCCAAACAATAGATCTCCTGCTTGTCTTCTCCCAAAACATAAAAGCACTGGTCCCAGTGCCGCTGTGTCGCTCGTCCCTCCCAGCAACAGAACAACGACACCAGAGACAAATTCCTCAACGTTCTTCACGATGGGGAAATGGTGCGTCAGAGTTGTCCTCGTTGGGATCCGTAAGCGTGCGAACTGACGCGCGCGACTACTGCAGGACTACGGGATACTACGACGACGTGCTCAGCTCGAAGATCAAAAGCCTGGTGTACGCATCGCGATCCTGTTAGTAACATAGACTTTGCTGACGCTTTCTCTGCTTTCCGTGCTCCCTCCGACGTCATGCAGAACGGGCGCAATGAAGCGCTCGCGGCTCGAGAAGGCCGAACCGACGATAAGTTTCGAAGCATTCGTAGAGGACCTTGACCCGGGCGATTCATTCACAACGACGATCGTCGAGATCCTAGTAAAGGTGCGCCTCACGACCCCGCGAACCTGCATTCTTGGTCTGAACCGCAGCGTCGTCCAGGAACTCGCTGAGCGCCGCCAACGCCCGAAGCCTGAGGACCGGCGGCTCGTATCGAGCCGGACAGCAAAGAGCTTGCGCATGCTTGCTGCCCCGCAACGTACCTACCAAGGCTCGGGTGGGGCCCGGACACGTCGCACGCTCAACCTGACCGACTATCTTTCCGCACCACCGGAAGAGATGGAGGTTGTTGACGACGATAATGATTCGCTCGAGAGTCTCATGGATGGCGCGGGCGGCCTCGAAGGCGCCCGGGTCAACACAGACCTGTACGATGCCTACATGGGCCCTGCATGGGGTACGTTTGTTCTCGAATGTCTTGCTGCGCGCTTCGGTGGCTGACCCGCCACACAGCATCCTCCAACCACGCCGCCTCACAACGCCGTCTTGCACGTCATGCGCTGCGAGACGCCGCCGATGAAACGCGCCCACGGGCAAGCAGCACGGTCGGGCCGTCTGCTTCAAGCTCGACATCCGCATCCTCTTCGGGCGTCGCGCGCCAGCCCACCATCCGCCGCCCCCCTGCGCGCTCGCGCACAGTCGACTTCAACGACTTCACAACCCGCCGCCGCTCGACCACGCGGGACGCACATGAAGACGCGCCATCGCCCCGCCGCTTCTTTCCGCCCACGCGCCGCCTAGAGTACCCCTGGCCCGCAGGCCCTGCCACCTCGACCGATCATGGTGATCGCGGGCGCCCATACCTCTCGTGGCTCTCCTCAACGGCCCCCCTCCTGCCTCTCCCTAGTGTACCTTCGTTCCATCCGGCCAGCGGGTACCACGACCGCGAGCCCGACAACGAACACCGCGACCGCGACGAGCACGCGGACGAGAGCGAGCCCAGAGACGACATGCCGGCGCCCGCGCACGAGACGGACGACGAGGCCCCGCGGCCGGCCCCCCCGCGCCTGCGACGCGGCGGTGTGCGCCCGCCCGAGGCGATGCTCGCCCCGCACCAGCACCGGCTCGACGAGGGGGCAAGCCACGTAGGCGCGCTCGTCGCACTCCTGTCGGAACCGGGGACGGGCGAGGGCCACGAGCATGACTCGCCGCGGCCCGTGCCGGTGAGCGTGCCGCTGCAGGTGCGCAGGTTCTCGCCGCCGCGGGAGGCCCCGTAGAGCGCCTGCCCCGTGTGCGCGAAGTGGTCGGGGGCGTACTTGTATTTGTGTCACTTATGCTGCTTCTGCTCCGGATTGGCTCGGTACTGGACATCGGTTGTGTGCGTTCGGGTTTCGGCTGGCGCGCGGGGATCGGTGTGTCGGTGTGCTTTTTGTATATCATAGATGCTGCGATATGCGGCTTGCGTGGAGGTTCACTCTTATTTGAGGTTCGCCCATGCGGCGTGCTGCATATCATTGGCGGAAGCTTGGGCTTCGGATGGAGAGCATCGAGAATTGAAAATAAGCACCTTTTGTCAAACGACTAGTCACTGACTATGGAGAGGTGGTTGGCGGGGGTAAAACAGCAAGTCCACGACACGCAATTGCTGAAGATACTTAAGCTGCGGGTGCACATAGAGATCTGAATGGTGACAACTCGAATAAAGGTATAAGATGGAAAAAGACGGACAATAAAATTATGGATACGGGATCTCTCAATGGACACATCCGGAATTGAACCGGACACCTCTCGCAGTTGGCAAAGCAGAACGATGCTAAGCGAGCGTGATAACCAACTACACCATGTGCCCATGCTAATAATGTCATTTTGTGTTTTCTGACCATGGTACTATCCATTATCTCGAGGAATTGCCGTATCTTCTAGTTCACAAACAGTGAAACACGTTCTGCACGGCCGGAAGCCGACGCTCGCACTGGACAGACACCCCGAAAAGGATTCGGCGATCATGAGCCCGCGGCACTTCTTTATCAGATAAGATCCGCCTTGCCGCGCGTAACCGCATGCGGCAGGTGTCATCGTACCGTCACTCGCCTAGCGGCCCAGTTCATCTTCCTCTCTCCCCATGGTCAGCCCAATCATGCAACGCTCGAGCCGCCGACGCGCGTCCGGCGGCAGAACCCAGGATCCTTTTGACAGGCCGGCTTGATGCATGCCTGCAGGTGCACGGATGCATAAAATGAGGCATCTTATCAGATAGCACCCCACTGCTTCCAGGTATATTGACCTCCACCTCGTCCATTCTTCCGTCTCACCCCCTCCGCTCCGATATTTTGCCAGGCCATGTCTGCGCCCGCAAAGAAACACGTCGTCGTTATTGGCGGGGGCGCCGCCGGCAGCATGGTCGCGCGCAGCCTCTCGGACGCCCTCGACGCGTCGCAGCACGCGCTGACCCTCATTAACGCGCGTCCGTTCAACCTCTCGCTGCCGAGCACGCCGCGGATGGCGGTGAGCGGCGAGGACAAATTCGAAGACAAGATATTAATCCCGTTCGACCGCCTGCTCGCGAACGGCGTCGGCGACGTGAAGATTGGGCGCGTCGTGCGCGTCGAGCCCGCGGACGGTGCGGACGGCAAGGGCGGGCGGGGCGGCGTCGTGGTGCTGCTGGACGGCGAGCGCATCAGGTACGACGTGCTGGTGCTCGCGCCTGGGATGCGGTGGGACGGCCCGCTGGATTATCCCGACTCGAAGGACGACACATTGGCGTTTATTCGCGAGTGGAGGGACAAGTTTGCGAAGGCGGAGAAGATTGTCATGGCGGGCGGGGGCCCTGTCAATATAGGTAAGTCGGCTGCCCGTCTCGACTCGCGTGATCCAATTTAGAAGCTCACCTGCTCGAAATGGAAATAGAGATCGCTGGAGAACTCAAGTATTATTTCCCGGTACGTGTCTATTCGTTCTACTACGCACTATTGCCTATCGCTAACTCTGCGGCACGTAGGACAAGTCAGTGACAATCGTCCAGAGCGGCGACCTACCGCTGAACAAAGTCTACTCGACACGATTCCGGCGCACGGTCGAGACACGCATTCGCAAACGCGGCGTCGACTTCATTTTCGGCGAGTATCTCGACCAGACCGTTCCCAAAGACGGTGTCGTCTTCACGCGCTCGGGGCGCAAAATCCCTGCGGACCTTGTCGTGCGTATTCCTGCTGTGGTCAGTATCTCTACCGCTATTTATTTACTTACCGATGCATGCAGGTCGCCTCCACTGGAGGACATCCTGCTACCGGCTTCCTCTCCAGCATCACCCCCTCTATCCTGTCGCCGTCCGGCCGCGTACGCACAGAGCCCACGCTGCAGGTCGTCTCGCACCCCGACATCTTCTGTCTCGGCGACGTCGTCGACAACGAGGAGCGGCTGGGAATAGGCAAGTACCGCTCGCACGCGAAAGTCGTGTGCGCGAATGTGTTAGCGCGTTTACGTGACGGGCCCGCGAAGGACACGTACGGTGGCTCGATTGAGACCATCGCGATTTCGATGGGAAAGGTGCGTGTCCCCCTGCCCCTAAGTATGTGCCGTCCATTCATAACAGTAAACCCTTGCAGACCGGCGGCGCGGGCTACCTAGGTGTCCTCTGGGGAATCATATTCTCCGAGTGGTTCATCTGGCTGACGAAGTCCCGCACGATGGGCGTCAGTGCCGCCCGCTACCAAATGGGCTATGGACTCATAGAATCGTTGAGGGGGGCTCCTGTTGTTGTCTCTGCTCTTTCTCGGGCCGACGTGAGTGAGTCTGGAGTGAACGAAGATGGCGAGGGCGCGGCGAAAGCTGTGTTGTAGCGACCTTAGGCTGTCACTGCCTGCCCCCAGTTACTTCATGTACATATGTATGTCGCGTGTTAATGCATTCGTACTCGCACGAAACATGGTTGATTTGTATAGAGAAGCAGTATAAAATAAAATGGTGCAGCATGTCGTCATATGGACACATCCGGAATTGAACCGGACACCTCTCGCAGTTGGCAAAGCAGAACGATGCTAAGCGAGCGTGATAACCAACTACACCATGTGCCCATTGAATGTCACCTGATTAGAAATACCCTGGAGTCTGACCTTGACCATGAAATTGTGATTCTCGCTGTAAGCCTGCAACCGTGCGGTGGTGAATGCGAAAGACCAAGAAATCCGCCGTTTGTCAATGAGCACGACTCAAACCCTGCTGGAGACCCCGATCGGCAGCGCTGAGGTGCTGCGGCCGCACGGCTCCGAAAAACTGTTCAGCGCCCAAAGCTGCGGAAGCGACTGCGGAGGGCTCTTATCAGATAACCGCTCCGCAGAATCCCCACACGGCAGGTGTCGTCGTTCATTCGTTCCCAAATCCGCGCCTTCAGCGCTGTCGTCCGATGGTCGGTACGTGCCGCTACCATGTTATTCGAACCGCTGCGGACGCGCGTACGGCGGCAAGGCCTCGTTGACGTGACCATGTTGCGTGCGCGCCGTTGATGGACAGCCTGGACGGAGGATCTTATCAGACAAACAACTGCTACTTCAAGCTGGCTCCATCTCCCGTCTAGCCCTCATCTTTCTCCCCCTTCCAGACCACGACCATGACCGCGCCCGCGCCCACGAAATCGAAGAAACACGTCGTAGTGGTCGGCGGCGGCGGCGCAGGCAGCATGTTCGCGCGCCGCCTCTCGCGTGCGCTGGACGCGTCGCAGCACGAACTGACCGTCATCAACGCACGGCCGTTCAACATCTACCTGCCGAGCACGCCGCGCATGGCCGTGACTGCGGAGGACAACTTCGAAGACAAAGTTCTCGTGCCGTTCGACCGGCTGCTGGCGAAGGGCGTCGGGCAGGTGAAGATTGGACGCGTTGTGGGCGTCGAGCCCGCGGACGGCGCAGGGAAGGGGGGCGATGGCAAGGCGGGCGGGCGGGGTGGGGAGGTGGTGCTGGAGGACGGGGAGCGGGTGCGGTACGATGCGTTGGTCCTCGCGCCGGGAATGCGGTGGAGTGGTCCCCTGGACTTCCCCGACTCGAAGGACGGTACGCTGGCGCACATTCGCGAGTGGAGGAACAAGTTCGCGAAGGCGGACAAGATCGTCATGGCAGGCGGAGGCCCCGTCAACATAGGCAAGTCAGCTTCCCGTTCTAGACGCGCGTCCACCCTTTATGGTCACTGACCTACTGGAATGGGTTACAGAACTCGCCGGAGAGCTCAAATACTATTTCCCGGTACGCGCAGCTATTCGAATGCATATTCTCTGTTATTCACTTATGCCCGTATCGTGGCGCGCAGAACAAGTCGGTCACGATTGTCCAGAGTGGCGACCTTCCCTTGAACAAGGTCTATGCCCCGCGCTTCCGGCGCGCTGTCGACGTCCGAATCCGCGCGCGTGGCGTTGAGCTCGTCTTTGGCGAGTACCTTGACGAGACCGCGCCCAAGGACGGCGTGGTCACCACGCGTTCGGGGCGCAAGATTCCGGCAGACCTTGTCGTGCGTGCTCCCCTCCCTTCTCATTTGATAGCCTCTCAACCATTAATGCACTCAGGTCTCTTCCACTGGAGGTACACCGGCTACGGACTTCCTTTCTAATATCGTGCCGTCCATCCTTACACCATCCGGCCGTGTGCGCACCGAGCCTACCCTCCAAGTTACGTCGCATCCCGACATATTTTGCATCGGCGATGTCGTTGAGACGGAAGAACGACCGAGTCTCGGCAAATACAAGAAGCACTCGCAAGTTGTGTGCGCGAACGTGTTGGCGCGTCTGCGCGACGACCCGGCGAAGGCCGTGTACAAGGGATCCATTGAGTCCATCGGGATCACTATGGGCAAGGTGCGTCCATCCAGTCTCATCTCCCAAGAAATTGTACTCACGTTGCTCTTGGACAGACCGGCGGCGCAGGCTACCTGGGCATACTCTGGGGCCTCGTCTCTCCCAACTGGTTGATCTGGCTCGCGAAAGCCCGCACGCTGGGAACCAGGGCCGCGCGTTTTCATATGGGCTATGGGATCATGGACTCCTTGAGGGGAACACCTCTGTCGGAGTCTGTTGCTTTGAACGCGACGGCAACGGCGGCTGCGTAGCCGGTGTTGAACCTTTAATCAACACCTCGTCGGACGTATATTGTTTTGGGTCTAGTCGACGGTATACCCTGTATGTTATGCCTGCTGCACCTCGGGGGTGTCAATAGATCTGTTCTTTATTGCTGTTTTCAGAAAAGTTGGCGGCGCGTCGAAATCGACGCGCCTCAGCAATCTTCCCGCGTGTATCTTCCGAGCCTCATAGCACCACAACGAACCATCGGATTCGAATGAAAATAATATGTCTGAGATCGCGTTGACGAGGGCTTTTGCGCCCCACCATTTTCAAGCAAATCCGTTGAGAATTGAGAG